TGACTCTGTGGAGTTATACAGGACAAGAATAATAGACATTATTAGATAGTTGACTGAGCTTCAGATAGTTCTCTGTGCCCAGAAAATACTAGGGTTGAGTGGGGAATGATGATGCGAGGGCTTGATGGGATAAGCTACAGGTTTCCAAGCCCAAATACAATCTGTTTATGCTCTTCTTAAGATATATCAAGTAACTCTCCTTGAAATCTTTTACATTTCAGCTGGGACCACAATCACTTATTCCTGAAACAAAACACTGGAGATTCTGGGGCCTCCATTAGAATGAAGACCTTGTCCACACCAGGGACCGAACAAGGAGACCCAATACATAATCATGGACACCATACCTCTGAGTTCTGGTTTTAAATCTGTACTAAATTGTTAAAGTGACTCCGGGAAAACCATTTTCCCACCCTGTGCCTCAGTTAACATACCTGTAAATGAGACATTGAACTAGGTGAACAGCTCCCAAATTGGCTGTAGTTAAAAATCACCTGGACCACTTTGAATATAGGAAATTGGAGGCATCATCTTCACAGATTCTGAGTCATTCTGCTGGAGTGGGTTAAGGCATATCTTATTAATAATTGCCCAGGGCATCTTGATATTATAGGCAAATCTAGGGACCAAAGCATTAGACAGCCTCTGGTGTTTCTGGGCAAACCTCACTGCACCCTCTTCCACCTGGCTCTTATCTTCTAACTTGGAATTGAATGATGGCTCTTGTTCCGACACATGCACTCACCACCCCTGTCTTGTCAGGGAGTAGCTGTGCAACCTACGACAAATCATGCTATGGTTTGATTCTTCCTCTCGTTTGCGAAAGGACTAAATAAATTAATTGCAAATGTCTCTTCCGACACATTCTATTATTTTGTGACTATTGAGGACACTTGGGGCAGAGGTAAAAAGAAAATAATCTAATATCCTGATTCTCAGAACTATCTCAGCACATTCTTCGAGAACCATGTGAGAATCCAGATGTGTTTCCACAGCAGGGTACCCATGTCCTGCCTTCTGTTCACAGACAGTTGTCCCTGACCTTGAGCGCCCCTTCACAGACGCTGAACCATAGGCGAGTTGTCCAAATGGAGTTAGAAGACTCGTCGGGAAAACACCACAGAGAAAAGAAGAAGAGGCAGAGTAACCACTTCCTTAAACAACACGGCCAGGCTTCTGAACAGGACAGTTACTGAATTCGTGTGGACTAAAGTTTCGATTTAATTTTTTATTTTGGGATTTCTCGAATTCAGTTAAAAAAAAAAAGAAAAGAGAGGGAAATTGCATAATCGAAGTGGCTTACCAATAAAGATCTCTGACGTCCCTGTAGAACTAAGACCCTGATGCCCGTTGGCGGCACTGGGATCTGACCTCTAGTCCCTGGAGGCCCCACAATGTTCCATTCTTCTGGTTCAGGGCAGGATCCCAGGACCCCCATTCCCTTCTGTTCCTGAGACTCTCTTTTTCTTTCTGCATCTACAGCACAGACATTCCCAGAGGTCTATCCCTACCACATATCTTCATTTGGAAGCAATTTTAAGGAGAATTTTTACAAAAGACCAATTACCACACACTGGGTCTCTTCCTAGCATGTTTTAGACAGCACAGCAACACTAGTTGACTATTGATTAACAGCTAGCTTATTGATCACTTACCACATGCTATTTACTCTGCAAAGCAAGTTATCAGTGTCAGATAACTTAATATTTGCAATAAACCCCATTTTCACAGTTGAAAAACAAAGAATAAATAAGGAATTTGAAGTATAAAGAAGTTCAATAACTTGTGTCTTCTCCAACACAGATATTAACTGGTGATTCTAGTATCCAAACTCAGACTTTCAATCACCATGCTATTCTGCTTCTCCCAGGGCGACAGCTAAGGACAATTCTCTGCCCATTCCTGGCATCCTAGCCTCTCTGGTCTCTGATTAGATCCTTCACAGACAACTATAGATGAATTAAATTAAAGAGCTTAAATATGATTTAATCCAGAAATAATAACTATATTACATAGGTAGGACCACCTCCTGTTGCAGACATCACTAATAAATCACAACATTATATTTAATAACCCAAGATGAGGCCTCACTGGTTTTGGTTTTAGTTCATTTTATTCAACAAACTTTTCTGGTCATCCACCATCCATTCATGAAGCTCATGCATGATTGAAAACTATTTGTCATCCCTGAACTTGTCAAAACCCACTATTTTACAGATGAGGACAATGAATCTCTGAGTTAGGATTTACCCATAGTCACATTGGGCAAGTCATTGGCTAGTGTTTGGCTAAATCAAGGCTAGGTTCATGTTACTTGACACTTAATTCCCTTCATTTTGACTAATCCTTGTTGACTCCCTAATAACTATGATTTCGCTACTCTTTTTTTCACCTGCTCATATAAAAGGCCATCTGATATGAGAAATTGAAAAACAAAGAATAAATAAGGAATTTGAAGTATAAAGAAGTTCAATAACTTGGGACACAAGGAAAAAAATAAAGCAGTTAATATACACATTTAAGAACAAATGAAATATGAGCAAAATAAAGCTGTGTTTTTTTCATTTTACTTACTTTATATTGAAGCATAACATATATAGTAACGTTTAGAAACTTCAAGTGTACAATTTCATTAATTTTATATAGGCAGACAACTGTTTAACCACCATTCTAAGATATAGAACATTCCTTCCTCTCAAAGGCTCCCTCGTGATGTCAATATCACAGAGAAAACCACTATCCCACAGGCTAGTTTTCCCTTTTAACAAGGTGAATGTCTTCCTAGCAATTGTCAAATATTTTTAAGAGTAGTAAACTCACATTTTAGTAAAGCTGTTTTCTACCAAGGTGATTATTCTATAATTTGATTATAAGCCTTAATGATGTCTACACATTTTGATTTATTAATCTCTTAACTATGGAATTGAATGGAGACATTAATAATAACGTTTCATCAGCTTTCTAATCGATATCTGTAGACTACTCTACCCAATAAAAACAAAACACAAAATTTTCTCAAGATCAGATAAAACATTTTGGGTCATAAAATAGCTTAAATTGTTTTAAAAAGAGAAATTGTACATTGTGTACTCTTAGACCACAACAGGCTTACAGAGAGATACCCCGAAAATTCCTAAATATTTGGAGAAACAGCATACGTCTAAATAACACATGGATCAAAGAAGAAATTTCAAGAGAAATTTAAAAATATTTTGAACTAAATAAAAATAAATATACAATTTATCAAAATGTGTGGAGTTCAGCAAAAGTAATACTTAGAAGGAAATTTATAGCATGAATGCATATATCAGAAAAGAAAGACCTAAAATTAACCATCTAAGTTTCCACCTCAGGAAACCAGAAAACAAAAGAAGAGCATTATAAACCTAAAGCAAGCAGAAGCAAAGAAATAATAAAAATTAGAGCAGAAATTAATAATATTGAAAATAGAAAAACAACAGAGAAAATTAGTGAAACTAAAAGCTGGGTTTTTGAAAAGACCAATAAAATCAATGAACTTCTGGGCAGTGTAAGGAAGAACAAAAAGAAAACACAAATTACTAATACCAGAAATGAAGGGCCATCACTGCTGATCCCATAATTTCACGCAATAAAATATATATTAATTTTATATTTAAAAGGGGGATAATAAAGCAATATTATTAACAGTTCTATATCCACAAATTTGATAATTTTAAAAAAATGAACCAATTTCTTGAAAGACACCAACTACCAAAATTCATTCAAGGAAAAGTCAATAATCTGAATACGCTTATCTCTATTAAAGAAATTTAATAAACAATTAGTAACTTTTAAAGACAGAAAGCACCAGAACTAGATGGCTTCACTTGTTAATTCTACCAAACATTTAAGTAGCAAGTGATATCAAATTTTCACTATTTATTGCAGAAGATAGAAGCAGTGATGACACTCTTAGCTAGGGCTAAATGCATATTTCTTAATGGAAGAAGCCAATCTGAAAATGCTGTGTACTGTCTGATTCCAACATAGGACATTCTGTAAGGCAAATCTATAGAGACAAATGAAAAGATTAATAGTAGCCCAAAATTTGGTGGGGAGAGAAGGAAGGATGAATGGGTGGAAACAGTAGGGCTTTTAGGGCAGTTAAATGTCGGTACAATATTGTAGTGGTAGATACGTGATGGGAGGGGAGTAGACAAGGTCAGTGGCTTGAAAACCTAGCTTCTTCCCTTTGTGGCCCCCACCTGCTGCCCCATTGTGTGTGAATGAAGGGAGCTGGGAGACTTGTTTTACCTGCACCTGCATAAAATATTGGGTTTCTCCATTTGGTTTTACTTGAAAAGAAACTTTAGTGTCTAAATAAAATATTTGGACACCACTACCCTAGAAGGACACCACGTGCTGTCCAGTTCTTATGTTCCAGGACATAGGATTTCAGGGCATTAAGACTCTGAAATTCCTGATTCTACCATTCTGCAAGGTTCCATCCAGTTACCTGTGCGGGTTTCAAAGGAGCCTGAACAGTTCAGGATGTCAAGGACCCGAGTCTGAACGAGAATACAGGCAGAGCCTAAGGCCCCATCCCAGGCCTCCTGAGCCCTGGGAGAGTCAGATCTTTGATTCCCTTCACTCCACTATGACCTCAGCTTCCATTCTCCTTCCTGACAGATCACTTTCCATTTCAAAGAAATTACAACCCTTAATAGTCTAATGGGATCACTTCCCAAACTTTGCTGGACAGGACCACATCAGCCTTCCACCTCTGCTTCACATCATCTAAGCAAACAACCGAAACTCCACAGCTTCCTTTTCTTAGAGTCTGGAAATCACCCCCAGGCTCTGGAGCCTACTCAGCACATTTTCAGGGTCTTACTTCATCCTTGCTCATGACACTGGCCGTGCTCTCTGCCTCCTATAAAAGGCGGGCGGAATGGCCAGGGCAGCCAGAGGAGCAGAGAGGCTGAGGCCAACCCAGAAGTCTCCGACTCACGCTGAAGCTCCCACCCGCACCCTCCACCATGAAGGTCTTCGCGGCGCTGCTGTGCCTGCTGCTTACAGCAGCCGCCTTCAGCTCCCAGGCGCTTGCTCTGCCAGGTGAGGCCCTTCTCTGCCTAACGCTTAACATTTTAACTCCGACAGGTACTAACATCCCAGAATGAGTCATCCCCGGCTTGTGGCACAGCCTGAGATGGAGAAAGTGGAACCAAGAGGGGAAATGAGAAGAGTCATCATGCCCCAGCTCATCAGAGGCAGGAGCCAGAACTTGTTGCCCAGGCCACTGAGGCCAGTCCCTGTGACCTTTCCTGAGATCAGTTTTGGGACACTAAATGCAGCCACTACTTCAGTGACCCTCATACTGTTTGGGGATGTGGCACAGAAGGAAAAAAAAAGGACCACTTCTCATTGGGGATGTGAAGGACATTTTGGGAAGTAGTGGAGAGGAAGAAATGACTACCTGAGGTTTCAAATGTTGATTATGGTCAGTGGAGTGTCCAGAACAGTGGCTGTGTCAAGGGGAGAAAGATCCAGAGACATCTCAGCCTGTGACATGGGTTGGCTCTAAAGCCAAGGGGACAACGAGCTTGGAAGCAAGTTCTTAGGACATATCTTTCCAGTGTCAGAAGCTTTGGATCGGTAGCCCCTTATGATAACACTACAAGATTAGTCTTGTTAGTAGAGATCTTTCCCTTCCCAACCAGTGCTGAGGGGTCCCCTAGTTCAGTAGAGGAAACGGACCCACAGGTAACATTTTACCCCTGGGATCGGGACTGAGGCACTGAGCTTGGGAGCGGTAGGTCCTAGTTAGACCTCGTGCTTTTGCCTGGTCTGCCCCAGCCTCCTCCTGCCCTTACAAATGCACGCTTGCGACACAGCCTAACTGTCTCACCCTTTGCAAAATGTTTTTCAGATTCCGTTTCCATCCCAGTCACCTGCTGCTTCAGTATGGTCCACAAGGAGATCCATGTCCAGAGGCTGAAGAGCTACACAAGAGTCACCAACAGCCAGTGCCCCCAGGAAGCTGTGATGTGAGTGAGCCACATCCTGACACCCTCAGCCATAAGCCCTATCCGAGTTGTGTGCAAGGGAAACAGGTCAGGAGTCAGGTCCAAATGAGTCAGATAAAGGTACCATCCAATCAAGAAGGCCCTTTCCCCCATAGAGAAACTGAGCCACAAGAAGGAAACCATGCTCCCTTTCCAGGAGCTTGGCCAGATCACCCATATCTTTTCAGTCGCGGGCCTGCAGGGCTTCCCCAGGGACAACAGGAGCAAGCTTCTTCTTAAAGCCTCTTCCTCCCATCCTTTCCCCTTCTTTTTGTGCCCAGTCCAGGCCCCTCACCCAGGGAGCAAGGGATGATCAGGTTTGGGAGCCAATGGGTCACACTCCTGAACAAAAGTCTCAAGGTGCTCTATCTAATTGTGTCCACAGCTTCACGACCAAAAGAGACAAGGAGATCTGTGCTGACCCCAAGAAAAAGTGGGTCCAGGATACCATGGACCTCCTGGACAGCAAGACCCAAGCTCTGTAGCCTTGAACCTTCACAACTGGATTGAGAGACAGTCAGAGCCTGAGGACAACCTTATTTATTTTCCCTCAACCTTCCCCAGGTGCAGAATGATATTATTTTATTACAATGTACAAAAAGTGGCACTTGGGTTAATAATGTACAGCACAACATTATTTACATAATATTTAATTATGTTTTAAGTTATTGATGTTTGCCTTTATCTGCCATAAATCCTAATGAATGTAAAATGCAAAATCTGGTGATGTTTCCTTTTCTGTGAGCCCAGTTAAGTTCATGGCCAGAGGTAATTGCCTTTAGTATTGTGAAGTTCTCCTGTGGATCATCAAAGTGAAACACCCCCGTATTTTTAACAGATATGGGCTTTTGTAAATGTTGTTGATGAAATTAATGTTATTAGATAACTATGGAATTTTCAAATAAAAATATATGTAATTTTTAAGTACTTGGTCTTATTTTTTATGGAATAACATTTAGCTGGGAGGGAGAAAATAGCAGTCATCAATGGGTTGCAATTTGGGGTACAGGGGCCATTCTCTAAGAGGTCTTTTGGAGTCCACTGAGGATCAGGGAGAACCTAGCAGGACCAGATCACCTGCCCCTATTCAATAGGGTCTTGATTCCCATATCTTTTCTCCCCACACCTAATTTCACCAGTTTCCCTCTTGANAGCTGCTTCAACCCTTTGGCTCTAGTCTCTCACGTCACCTGCCGCTATTCAATAGGGTCTTGATTCCCATATCTTTTCTCCCCACACCTAATTTNCCTGCCCCTATTCAATAGGGTCTTGATTCCCATATCTTTTCTCCCCACACCTAATTTCACCAGTTTCTCTCTTGATCTCTTGCAACAGTCTTCAGACTTTTCTGTATGATCTCAAGTTTTCACCATCTGATTAATTCTCTCCAACCCAGGGCAATACCCCAGGAGTGGAACCTAATCTAAGAGGGAAGTAGGTGTTTATTACCTGGAGGTCCATTGAAGATGAGCCTTCGAAGGGACTAGTCTTGTGTGGTGGCATGTGGTGGAAAATGGGAGGGGCTTTTCAGAGCTGGTACAGGAAGGGGAGGAGGGGAGTGAATGAAGGAGTCTCATCTGACTGAGCTCTGGAAAGACAGAGGAGTTTGGTGTTTTACAAATAAAGGTTGGAGCCAGATCATAGGGTCTCTTGATTTTCAAGTGGGAAGTGAGTGAGTCATAGCAAAGCACAAAGAGTTTTGAAATGGGGGAGAAGACAAGTGTCACATTTGGAGATGTGCATCTGTACCCCTAGCCCCAATCCCAAGAACTTGCAAACCTCCATTTGAAGCCATGGGACTGCCTTTCCTTAACAGCCACTTAAGATCAACATTCCCTATACTTCGTGAGCATAGCTGGCTCCTTTTTCAGACAAGAGGCCCACCACACTGAGGCACAAAGACCAGACCCTTCATGAAGGGAGAGAGGATTGTCGTCCTGCTGACCCGGCTCCTCAGGGCCCGTCATTGGTGATCGTGTGGAGATGCCACAGTTCCAGTCCACCTGGAAGCATGGCAAGGCCAAGATCTGATTTCTAATCCCAGAGCTGAACCTGACTCTCCGTGTCACTTAGGGCAAGTCAGCTTCTCTCTCTGGCATTAAGATACCCAAAACAAAAGTGGAACTAGTGCTGTGTCACAGGCAGAAAATGAGGGAGTCTGGCAGATGACCTCATCACCCCCCTCCAGTTCCAGGAGCCACATCTTTGGGAAACTTGGCTTTGTCTGTTGGCCAGGGTAGGGTTGGGAAGTAAAGGGCCTAGAATTAAAACCGGCAAGTCAAGTAGGAGCCTCTTCTATTGGTAAACACCTGTAAGTCAGGAGATAAGCTTTCCATTAAAGTCCAAGGTAGCACCCTGGTCAGTGTGGCTCATTTGGTTGGACTGTTGTCCCATACACCACAGGGTCATAGGTTTGATTCCCAGTCAGGGCACACACCCAGGTTGCAGGTTTGAACCCTGGTTGGGTTAAGTACAGGAGACAACTGATCAATGACAACTCTCTTGCATGACTGTTTCTCTCTCTCCCTCTCCTTTCCTCTCTATCTAAAATCAATTTTAAAAAGCATCCTTGGGTGAGGATTTTTTTAAAAAGTCCAAGGTAGCACCTCCAAACTCTAGGAGCAATAAAGCAGCTAAGTGTCAACCAGGTAAGAGGCGTGCTTCCCGGCCACAAAGTTTCCATCTAATTCTAACATCTTTCTTCTGCAGCCTCTAGGCCAAGCTGGCTAGAGATCTAGGCCCAGGGTTTCATGAAGTACCTGGACCACAAACCCCAAAGTCCAAAGGCATGAAGACTCGCCGTGAACTGACAGCAGGCCACAGTGTGGACACACCCCAGATGTTTGCCCTGAGCCTTGCCCAGCTAGCTGCCTTCTGGAATTATGCCATTATATTTCAAATCACAATGAACTCAGTGACATTAAACATAATGTCTCAAGTGATACGTCATCTTATTTATGTTATTGATGTTTCATGTGCCTAATGTGAATATTTGTGTTTCGAAAATCCACATCCTTACATTAACTGATTCATATCTGGAAGCTCCAATTCCTTCTCTTGTCAACAGGGGGCAAAGAATTGGGAGTTTACTTCAGTTGGCTCGCATCCTCTTGGGCTCACTTCTTGATTTCCCCTTCTGTTGAGGCTGACAGTTTGCTGCAGGCTGTCACTCACCTCACTCTCTTGCTATCTGCTCTCAGTGTAGGAGCTCCTCACTTCTTGTTTCCTGCCCACAGTTTCCTCCATGCGTGCCATCTCAGGTCAGGAGTTGGCTCAGCCTGCACATCTGCCTGAGGCTCAGAGGTGTGGGGAGGGCGCACTCTGATCACAGTAATGCTTCTAGAACTTTCAGGGACATTGGAAATGTCAATCTTGAAGTGAGTGGCAGTTATATGTTGTATACATAGATTAAAAAGTAATCAAGTTATACCTATAAGATTTATGAATTTTATTATATGTGAAATATGTAAGTATATTAAAATAAATTTGAAAATATGTTTTAATAGCTTGAATCTGTTCATACTATTAATCCAGCAACCCAACTTCCATGTCTATGACTCAACTGTGATGATAATAAAGGTTTATTACATACATGATATTACTTAGAATCCCAGTGAAATAGACTAAATGCCCAATTGCAAAGTGTGGTCTAGATAACTGTTCAGCCATTAAGAACTTAAGCTATTGAAGGACATACAAAGACTCTGACAAGGTTTTTGACATAACATAAACAAACTTGTCTTAATGCTGAGTAAGCAAATGGTTATATAATATTTTTATTCTTTTAAAGAGAGACTTTCCGAGTATTCTAAGTCAGCATGTATTTTTTTCAAAGAACATATAAAAATGTTCCTACAAAATTGCTGCCCCTACAGAAAAACTTCCCCTTTTTTTTATATTCACAGCATATGCCAAATATAAGATTTTTCCTATCCATTTTGTCATGAGAAGGGGCATTCATCCTAGAGAAAGAGCAGCCAAAGCTAGAAATGGCCAGCACCTGAATGGGCAATAGAACAAATGGTAAGGTGCCAAGATCCCAGGGGGACTGCACACCTCAGTTTGCCTGGGGCAATCCTGGTTCACCCTGTCTGGTTTAGAAGATAAACCATATGGTCATTGTCCCACGGAGGAGAGCCCCTCTGGCTTCTTAGACCCCTCAATCACCAGTAAGAATTCATGTTTGACTGTTTTCGGGTCTAGACAATGTCCAGGAAGATGACTCCATCGCCTAGAAATAGAAGGACTTGCCCTGGAAAGTCATTAGTCAGCCTTTTCAAAGCCAGATTCGGTCCCCTGTGAAATTTGTGCAGGCTGGGACGCCTTCATTATGAAGACACCATTTAGGGCAGGGCTCAGGTGATCCTGTTTGGGCCAGACGGGAAGAACACTGTTGCAGGGGGATGGGATATGATAAGCAAAGACACATGGGGGGAAGGTGGTGTGAAGGAAAAGTAAGGCAGCCTTGCAGTGTTTCCAGGGGTGGTGGATGGCCTTCAGAGTCTCAATGACAAGATCTTCTTCCCCTGCAGGCTCGCCTGTCCCTGGAGAGACCAGGTCTGAGGGGCAGAGAACGCCAGTTCGTGCGGGCTCCCTCCCATTTTCATCAGCCTCCCCGCAGTCGATGTCTGTCCTGTAAAGTGGAAATGTTGCCCTATGTCAATATACCATAGAGACTCAAACAATAAAAGGAGTTGGACAGGGAGAAACATAAGTACAAGGTGCCCCAGCTCTGTTTCCCTGAGCAATTTTAGTTTTAATCTGATATATAGCAGAGCTTCCCAATAAGTTACTCGTTGATCGAAGACTTCAGCATGTAAACAGACCTCTGAAAACCACCACACTGGCATAGTGGAGCCAGCTCCACGGGGTGACAATATAAGATGGCAAATCACTGAGATTGCCCCAGATGCTGGAGTCAGAGGGCAGGATGCCTGGATGCGAAGACCCTGTAGCCACATAATGATTCTGAAATCATGGAATTCTATAGTCCTAGGGGACTTTGATGTATAAAGTTAAGATCACTCAGATGGAAAGAGCCTGCTGACCTTCTGCTCTGGACATAATTGGGTGATTGGGATAGGACCTCCCTCCCCAAGCTCCCACACTGACTGCTGGGCAGGGATGAATTTTTAGGTCTCCAGAGAATATCATCTATGTAAGCTGATTCCCAGAGTGTCTCAGTATTTCTTTCCCCCGTGCACTGTCACCCTGGTCATATGGCAGCAGGCTGCTCTGGGGAAGCTTGAGGGAATGTTTATAGTATAAACCCATGGATTTCCAGATTTAGCAAAAATATTTCAAGGGGCATATTTATTACAAAATTACTCATTGTTTATCTGAAATTTAAATTTATCTAAGTGTCCTATATTTCCTCTGGCAACTTGGCATGGCAGGGCCTTTCCTGAAAGGGACCTGGTCCCCCCACCCACCAAGGGAATTCAGGTCTATGAACTGGCTTATATATGATAATTGAGTAAGAGACCATGAATCTCTTCTACAGAGACTCGAATTAGCTCTCTGCCCAGAGAAGCTAGGATTTCCTGCCTAAAGTCAAGCAGTACCTTAGTAACTATAGCATCTATTTAATGTCTAGGGATCCCCTAATCATGGCCACCGATTCCTGCAGGTCAGAACACTCTGATTAGCACTCCAGACCTGGGGCTTCTTGGGGTAACGGTGCCCATCTTGCCTCTGCTGCTTAATTAACAAGCATCACTGCCTGGCCTCTGTCCTCCCCCGGCCCAGATCCCATTCTGCCCACTGAGATCCAAACCCCGCTCCCTTTAGCAGCGGTTCCCCCAGTGTGGTCCCCAGACCAGCAGCATCAGCAGCACCCAGGGACTGGTGGGATAGGAATCACTGCCACTGTGC